TAACACCGGCTCGCGAGGCTTCAAACGTTATCACATACGTCATCAAATCTAGCTTCGATACGCGCTTCGCCGAAATTTACTCGAAAAATTCCACTCATGTGGTTGTTGTTGTTTTTTTTTTTGTTTTTTTTTTTTTTTTGTTTTGTTTTTTCCTTTTAATTGAGCCAAAAGGATGCAAAGCTTTAAAAGCTTCATGATTGATTTTTATATTGATGAATCTATAGTCATATACAATCTCTACAGAGCTAGTGTTTGAACAAAATGGTCTTAGGCACGCTTTCATATTTGAAATGCTTTTATTTTCATGGGATTATCATACAGACCTGACGTGTTTAAGCACTAACAAAGTTAAACTCAAGACTTTTTCCAGTAAATTTCCACTCTGGCATCAAGTTGTAGTTTGCAGAGGGTGTGTGTGTGTTCACTAAATGTTCAGCAGATGGCGTTATTCAGGCCACTGGGCCTTAAAATCCTCTGACAGCTACCCTAAACATGAATCCATGACACCTATAAAACATTTAAGTGTTTTACTTTAATGAATAAGTTTTAAGGTTTACATAATGGTGCCATGAATATAATGTTCAGAAGACTGCGTTTGGCCTTGTTCTTATTTTTCTGACCATATTAAAGACAATAAGATCTTAAAGCCCAGTGTGAAACAGTGAAACTGCATATTCAGATCTGTCTTGGTGTACCCTGAGTCTGCCGTGGAAAGTGCTGTTGTTGGTGTGTACTAACTGTGCTTCTGTGTTTGTTTTTTTCCAGCATGTTCCTCAGATTCCAGCTGACTTCATGTCCTCTCAGCTCCACTGAGGCCAAAGGTGAGACTGAGGCAGGGATGCAACTTTATAAGCCCAGAAAGAAAATAAAGATGAGGCTTGAAAATGGTCTGATTTGCAGCATGGCTGCCAACCATGATGCAAACATGAGCTGTTTAAAATGACTGGTAACACTTTACAATAACCATAAATGGTAAATTAACCATTTATGAATGGTAAGCAGATAGTTTATTAATATTTAAATCATTTATAAATAGGATATAGGCCATAAATAAATTGTCAGTTTTATAAAAACCTTACCCTAACGCTACTATAAACATCTAAGTAATGTTTATAGGTGGTTTATAAACCAATTATTAATAATTTACAATGTATTACAAACATCAGTTACAACTTTACAATGACCATCAAGTAATGTTTACAGATGGTTTAAGAAACAAATATTAACCATTTACTGACACACATTTTAATCTAGATGTTTTAAAACCAATATTTAAACCCTATATAAACCTTTAATAAATAGTCCATTACTAATTAATGAAAATTATCAATCATTAAAGTAACAATTAACTTACATTAATAAACTATCTATTTGGCATTTATAATTGGTCTATAGGCTGTTTTTAAATGATGATTAAACTTTAATTATCTATTTACCATTTATAAATTGTAGTTATTGTAAAGTATTTAAAATAGGTCTGAACTGTGAAAGCTGATTATTGAAGGAGGTCAAAGAGGTCAAGGTTTTTAATTCTGAGTCTTATATTCAGGACTTAAGGTTTGATGGTTGTGTATTTCTCTGTGTGTTAACCAGGAGCTGAAATTACGCCGGATCAAGTCAAACTGAGGCAGAACTCATGACCGTCCAACGCCTGGACCCTGTAAGGTAAGATACTGACTACTTCACTCCATGGACAGACCATCAACGAGGGACACTGGAGGTCAGTTTGCTTTTGGTTTGACAACAACCGTACCAACAAAAACAATAACCCCACCATCAACAATCAAGCAGTGCAGTTGTTCTCTGCCCGAGTAGCAGATTTTGGTCTAGTTTTGGTGATGCAATTGTGGAGAGAAAGTGTTCTCTTCTGGGGTTGCAGGTTTTGGTCTAGTTTTGGTCTGCTTTGGTGATGCAATTGTGGAGAGAAGTTGTTCTCTTCCAGAGAAGCAGATTTTTGTCTAGTTTTGCTCTGTTTTGGTGATGCAATTGTGGAGAGAAACTGTTCTCTTCTAAAACCACAAAAACAAGAATCCCCACCATTAACGATCAACCAGTGCAGCAATATAGACCCCCAAAACAAGTCTACTATCAGATTTAATTAAACAAAATAGCAACTCGGTCCTCAAAAACGTGTAAATCAACAAATTTACCAAAACAAAAATGAGAGTTCACTCGAATTAAAATTTAACTTCCTGAGGGATACTTTAAAATAGTCGGGATGCGTCACAAGGATTAGGTCTGATTTCGGCTATGAGTTTTTGGAAAGAAGCGTTTCTCTGCCCAAGTGTTTACTCCTCCTCGCCGCCCCAAACTACCTCAGATTTCCCCGACGTGCTTTTGGTCAAAGAAGAAAATGAAGATATAAGAAGACCTCCAAAAGGTGTGAAGATCTTCAATGAGGGATGGCTGCCCAGTGCACGGACCCATTTGAAGGACATCAACCAGGTTGATTATTTCATACTGCTTTTTTTCCCCTAATTTGTATTAAAACTGTTGTTTTCACTCTTAAAATGAGTGATTATGAAAATGAAAACCCAGTAATGTTAATTACAGTGGCTGTTACAAAGATAAGGATTCAAGGCTGTTGTAAGGATAATTAGACTGAAAACAAACCCTGCTAAACTCAAGTGCACAGTATTTTGCTGTGCTTTATTTTGACACTCCTAAAATGAATGACAACAAAAATGAAAACCCAGTAATGTTAATGATGGAAACAGGAGCCGCAGTGGCTGTTACAAAGATAGGGATTCAAGGCTGTTGTAAGGATAATTAGACTGAAAACAAACCCTGCTAAACTCTAGTGCACAGTATTTTGCTGTGCTTTATTTTGACCTTTTAGACCAGTTTAGCATTTCTATTGATTGTAAGTTGTGCATAGTCCCGTGAGGCAAGTCAGCAAGTACAACCTGAAGATATAAGAAGAATGATGTGGCCATCGGGATCAGCGTGGTGACACCAGAAAGACTTGGAAGAAGCAGAGTGAAGATGTCTGCACTACACCTGGACCAGTACCCAGGTAGAAAAAAAACCTCTGAACAGGGTCTGTTTTTTTCTTCTTTTTACATTTGACTTCAATATGATGATCACACTCCAAAAAAACCCTAATGATAAAATGTTTGTTTTACTCTGGAGTGACATGAAAACAAAAAAAACAGTAATGTTAACTTTGATGCAGTGGCAGTAACAGCTGTCAAAACTGTCAGGATAACTATGCTGAAAATGAACCCAGCTAAACTTGTCAAGTGCACAGTATTCGACTGTGCTTTATTGATTTGTCCAGCTAAACTTCAATTCTTGAATAGTATTAGGATCATGCTAATGTTAAAACTGCAAAAACCTCAAGAATTAAGACCAGCAGATCCAGAGGAACTACAAGAAGGACAACAAGAACTTCAAGAACAGCATGACAACGTTGACATGGCTTTTGCTGTAAGGTTGGTTCTTTCTGAGGGTAAGTGAACATCTCCTTGTTTGTGGATGTGATCATCTTGATTTAAAACTCAAAAAAAAAAGGTTTGAGGGGTGTTTTCCAAAACTTGATCTCAAATCCAGAAATATGGTTCAAAGGTTGCTTTTCATGACTTGATCCAAACTCGGAAATAGGTTCTCAACGTGCTTTCAAAGACTTGATTTCAAGCTCTACAAAGATTTGTAAAAGTTGCTTCCAAAGACTTGATCTTAAAACCAATAAACAAGGTATAATAAGGTGCTTTTCAAAAACTGGTTCTTGAACAAGCAAAGATGGTATGTTAAAGGTCTGGTCTCGAAAAGGTATGTCAATAGCACCTTTCTAATTTGACAAAAGCCCCTTATCTAACAAGAGTACCTTCAAGCCTAAAAACAAATTGCCTCTACTCAATCAAAAATGGCATAAACCAAACAATCAAAGTTTTTTCTCAGCAGCACTATCACGGAGAACAAGAAGACCATTCAGAAGAACTGAAGGAGTAGAAGAAGACCTGATGTGGACCCTGTGTGTCAATGCCCAAACCTCTGAACAGGACTGGGTCTGTTTTTTTCCTTTTACATTTGACTTCAATATGATGATCACACTCCAAAAAAACCCTAATGATAAAATGTTTGTTTTACTCTGGAGTGACATGAAAACGAAAAAGCAGTAATGTTAACTTTGATGCAGAGGCAGTAACAGCTGTCAAAACTGTAAGGATAACGATGCTGAAAATGAACCCAGCTAAACTTGTCAAGTGCACAGTATTCGACTGTGCTTTATTGATTTGTCCAGTTAAACTCATATTCTTTCATAGTATCAGGATCATGCTAATGTTAAAACTGCAAAAACCTCAAGAAATAAGACCAGCAGATCCAGAGGAACTACAAGAAGGACAACGAGAACTTCAAGAACAGCGGGACAACATTGACATGGCTTCTGCTATAAGGTTGGTCATCTCTCTGAGGGTAGGTGAACACCTTGTTTTTAGATGTGATCATCTTGATTTCAAACTCAGAGGTTTGAGGGGTGTTTTCCAAAACTTGATCTCAAATCCAGAAACATGGTTCAAAAGGTACTTTCATGACTTGATCCAAACCCAGAAATAGGTTCTTAAGGTGCTTTCAAAGACTTGTTCTCAAAAAAAGGGGTTCAAAAGGTGCTTTCAAAGACTTGTTCTAAAACCCAGAAACATGGTTCAGAAGGTGCTTTCAAAGACTTGTTCTCAGACAAAAGGGTTTAAAAAAGGTGCTTTCAAAAGACTTGTTCTTAAACTTAGAAACATGGTTCAGAAGGTGCTTTCCAAGGTATGATTTCAAAACAAAAAAAATATTCTAAAAGGTGCTTTTCAAAAACTTGATCTCAAACCAAAAAAGGCTTAAAAGGTGCTTTGAAAATCTTTATCTCAAACCAAAAAAGGATTGAAAGGTGCTTTCAAAATCTTGATCTCAAACCAAATACAAGGTCCAAAAGGTGCTTTAAAGAACTTGATCTCAAACCAAAAACAAGGTTTCAAAAAAGGTGCTTTAAAAAGATATGATCTCAAACCCAGAAACATGGTTCCAAAGGTGCTTTCAAAGACTTGTTCTCAAACCCAGAAACATGGTTCAGAAGGTGCTTTCCAAGGTATGATTTCAAAACAAAAAAAATATTCTAAAAGGTGCTTTTCAAAAACTTGATCTCAAACCAAAAAAGGCTTAAAAGGTACTTTGAAAATCTTGATCTCAAACCAAAAAAGGCTTGAAAGGTGCTTTCAAAATCTTGATCTCAAACCAAATACAAGGTCCAAAAGGTGCTTTAAAGAACTTGATCTCAAACCAAAAACAAGGTTCCAAAAAGGTGCTTTAAAAAGACGTGATCTCAAACCCAGAAACATGGTTCCAAAGGTGCTTTCAAAGACGTGTTCTCAAACAAAAAACGTTCAAAAGGTGCTTTCAAAGACTTGTTCTTAAACTCAGAAACATGGTTCAGAAGGTGCTTTCCAAGGTATGATTTCAAAACAAAAAAAAAATTCTAAAAAGGTGCTTTTCAAAAACTTGATCTCAGACCAAAAAAGGCTTGAAAGGTGCTTTAAAAATCTTTATCTCAAACCAAAAAGGCTTGAAAGGTGCTTTCAAAATCTTGATCTCAAACCAAAAACAAGGTCCAAAAGGTGCTTTAAAAAGCAAGGATCCAAAAAGGTGCTTTAAAAGACGTGATCTCAAACCCAGAAACATGGTTCCAAAGGTGCTTTCAAAAGACTTGTTCTCAAACAATAAAAGGTTCAAAAGGTGCTTTCAAAGACTTGTTCTCAAACCCAGAAACATGGTTCAGAAGGTGCTTTCCAAGGTATTATTTCAAAACAAAAAAAATATTCTAAAAGGTGCTTTTCAAAAACTTAATCTCAAACCAAAAAAGGCTTAAAAGGTGCTTTGAAAATCTTTATCTCAAACCAAAAAAGGCTTGAAAGGTGCTTTCAAAATCTTGATCTCAAACCAAATACAAGGCCCAAAAGGTGCTTTAAAGAACTTGATCTCAAACCAAAAACAAGGTTCCAAAAAGGTGCTTTAAAAAGACGTGATCTCAAACCCAGAAACATGGTTCCAAAGGTGGTTTCAAAGACTTGTTCTCAAACAAAAAAGGTTCAAAAGGTGCTTTCAAAGACTTGTTCTTAAACTCAGAAACATGGTTCAGAAGGTGCTTTCCAAGGTATGATTTCAAAACAAAAAAAAAAAAATTCTAAAAAGGTGCTTTTCAAAAACTTGATCTCGGACCAAAAAAGGCTTGAAAGGTGCTTTAAAAATCTTTATCTCAAACCAAAAAGGCTTGAAAGGTGCTTTAAAAATCTTGTTCTCAAACCAAAAACAAGGTCCAAAAGGTGCTTTAAAAAGGTGCTTTAAAAGACGTGATCTAAAACCCAGAAACATGGTTCCAAAGGTGCTTTCAAAAGACTTGTTCTCAAACAATAAAAGGTTCAAAAGGTGCTTTCAAAGACTTGTTCTCAAACCCAGAAACATGGTTCAGAAGGTGCTTTCCAAGGTATGATTTCAAACAAAAAAAAAGGTTCTTAAAAAAGGTGCTTTTCAAAAACTTGATCTCAAACCAAAAAATGTTTTGAAAGGTGCTTTAAAAATCTTGATCTCAAACCAAAAAAGGTTCAAAAGGTGCTTTCAAAAACTTGTTCTTAAAAAAAGGCTTCAAAAAAAGGTGCTTTCAAAAGACTTCTACTCAAACAAAAAAGGGCTCAAAAGTTGCTTTTCAAGAATTGATCGCAAACAAACGAAAAGGTTTGAAAGGTGCTTTCAAAGATTTAATTTTAAACAAACTTTTTTTAAGGTTTTTTAAGCCTAAGTCTCGAACCAAAAAAGTTTCAAAAGGTGCTTTCAAATATTTTACCTCAAACCCCAAAAAAGTTTTAAAAGGTGCTTCCAAGGACTTGATCTTAAACCCAAAATCTCAAAAGGTCTGTCAAAGCAACTTCAGCAAAATCACCATCAACTAAAACTAAGTTTCAAAACCACCAACATCGCAACAACCGTCAAAGTGCTTCCAAAGGATCCAACGGAAACAACAAGACAGCAATGTTTGCACATTGTTTCTATTAGATGTAACTGTCAACACTAAACAGAACGAGGACAATAAACAAACTGTGTAGATCCTCCAACTGTTTTTGTTAAAACTGTAGTTTTTCTTATTTTTATTTATTCTTTGTATTTTTGTGAACCTTTGAATCTCTGAAATGGAATCCTTGAACTGTGCTTGTCATGATCTGCATGTGTTGTACTTTTTTTTTTTTTTTTAACTTATTTATTTTCTGTATGTTTGGCCATGTTTCTTTGTGTGCATATGTATGTCTGCTTTCCTCCGAACATAAGCAGGTCTGACGAGGTGACCACTCTTTTCCTGGAGGAACTGTTGCTGCAGAAACTCAAAGTGCTGCCTTCCTGTTCCGTCTGGGAAATCCAAGGGTGGTCATCTTGTTGAAGGTAAGATGAACTTTTCATTGTGGTAACGTTATGTTTTCACCAAAGTAACCACAAGAAAGCATGTAAGAAACCAGGTCCTGCATTCTGATAACTTCATCCATATTCAGTTTAAAACAGATTTTCTAATGCTGCACCTCACCTTCACTGTTTTTAAGTCGAGTATTTTCTGCATTTGCATGTGTGTCTCTCTCCTTTTCCCCAACCATCACAGAAGTGAGCATCTTCAGTGTTGAACCTGGCAACCACCAATGTCTTGAGGAAGGATCTAGATCACCTCTAAGAGACGAAGTCAGGCATCCTTGTGCTGCAGGTAAGCTGTGATGGAGAACACCACTTAACACACTGTCCTTTTGTCACCCAAATGTCTGAATGCTTCAACTCCAGAAACAACTTTTCTCTGGTTATTAAATCGTTTTCACAAAGGCGCAATGCGACGTGGGTGTGCCTTAGCTGTTCTACCAAAGTTAAGGCCCACCTAAGCTCGATCTATGCCTGTTTTTATGTTGATAACATGTAAGGCTGGGTCAGTGTTTCCAATGTCGTGACTATAACCTCTCTTCGAAAACCAGTAGGTGATGCAACAGCTGTGTATTTTGTGAGTACTTTGTTGTTTGCAGGTGACTCAAGGATGTGGATGCAGGAGAATATTAGCTCTTAAGTGATGCTGCAGCCTTTTCTGATGTTTAACTGTACAGATTTGTGTGTTTCTGTCTGTAACAATCATACTCATTTTCTGTGCCTGTAAAGACATAGTTTTATATGTTATTTTTCAGAAACAAGTCCTGATGTCCTCTAGAAAAGAGCCCAGCTGGAGAAGTGTGTCCGACGTCCCAGTCGAACGATAAAAACATTTCAGCCATAAGGTGGGTTATTTTATTAAAAAGGTAGGTGAATGTCTCTATTGAAACACAACAGCTGAAACAGTCATAATACTCTGATGCAAAGATGCAACACCACAAGGTTCAACGATCAAAAACACAACAATCAAACCAAAAACAAGGTTTAAAAAGTGTTTTCAGCCACACAACCATAAACCAACAAGGTTCACAACGATGCGTTCAAAGACAATATGGAAACAGACAACAAGGTTCATGTGGTGCTTTCAGGGACATGATGGTAACACAAACAAGGTTTAAATGGTGCTTTCAATGACAAAAGGACAAATCAACAAGGTTTAAATGGTGCTCACAGGGACACAATGGTAATACAAGGTTTAAATAGTGCTTTCAATGACAAAAGGGAAAACCACCAACAAGGTACAAAAGGTGGTTTTAACTCAAAAGTTTGACAACAGTCAATAAATCAAGAAATGATAAAAACCAAACCAAAAAAGAAAATTCACAACCAACCGGAGGATGGTTCAGCATCACTCAAGGTTAAAAGGGTTTTGTGACTTTAAAAAGGTTATTTCTGTTTTCATGAAACTTGGTTGGCATGAAAATGTCAGTTGCAAGTTTTACCAAATACTTGCTGAGCCCACCACTAAAACAACAAAATCCAAAAAGCAAAACAACAACTCTTAAGGAAACAACAAATCGGCAAAGTTCACTCAGTTCTCCAAATGGAAACCAACTCAACAAGGACAACCTCAACATCAACTACAACTTCAGGCCTCACCAATGTCTCCTCTACAGCTTCAACTAAAATGAGGGGGACAATGAACTGTAACCATAAAATGTTTTTTGTTTCTTTTTTGACCCTCCAGTCTTTGTAAAAATCAGAGATGTTTGTTTTCTTTGTGTTTTTTTTTTCTTTTTGTTTTGTTTCTTTTTGACCCTCCAGTCTCTGTGAAAATCTGAGATCTGTACTTGTCATGGTTTTTTGTGTCCTGTTATTCTGTACAAGGCTTTTATGCCTTCCTTTGGCTGCACATGTATGTCTCTGCTTTTCCCCTAAACATGACGGAGGTGTCGAGCCGTGGCGTTGGATGTGCTGACCACCACCAGGTCCTGGGAGGATCTGATGCTGCCCCTCTTCGATGAGCTGCTCCTCCATCCAGACTGGGAAGTTTTTAAGAGTCACCGTCAAGCTGAAGGTTTCTGAAGTTCTCTTTTAATGATTTTGAGAAACTTTTCAAAGTTCTTGTAGTTGTTTTCACCGAGGTCCAAACACTCCAGCTTTTCTGGGGGTTTGTAGATGCCCAAGAGAAATTTGATTTTAAATCTGTCTGTTGAATCCTTTAAGTCTGTTTCCAATGTAGTGACCCATCTTTCTGCTTCTCCAAAATCTATCTTGTGTTGTTACAGTCTACATCCAAGAAGACCCTGGCAGACCCAGACAGAGACGTCAATGACCCCCTCTTGCTCCAGGACCCGGCTGAAGAATGAAGACAAAGACTTGGTCCCCTGATTGGAGGTAAGTCAATCTTTGCAAGTGGTCTTGCTTGTTTCAGTCAAAGTTTTATGGTGATAAATTGATGTTAACAGTCCACTAACTTGATCTGATCCCTGTCTGCCTTCTGTAGTCACCACCCAGCAGGCAGACTTCCTGTCTCACTGTGAGCCCGTAGACCTTCAACCTCATCCAGAAAACCCTTACTCAGGACATGGTGAGTGCGCCTTTCTCTTTCAGGCTCTACTTTGAGGAGCACACATGAGCAGCTTTCTTAAATCCTTCTAACAGATGAGTCCGTTAAGATGATGATGATAGTTGGATGTTTTTACTCGATGGGCACAGATAAACCTCCACAACCCATGAAGAGTGCAAGCTTTGCTATGTCACTGTCACTTTATAGATCTCCTCCACCTTTATATCGCTGACATTATCAGTATTATTGACATTATAAGATTATCACTGAGACCTTTTCTGACTGATAGAAAACTAAATGAAAACGAGGCAGAATATTCACTCATGACAGTTTTCTTCATTTACAGGAGGATACTCGAGTCTCGACTGAGGACCCAGTGATGAAGATGGATGACCTGTCTGTGACACAAGGGTCATAGAGGATAGTTCTGTACTGATGAATCTATTATAAATTATTCATCTGTTTGACCAGATGATGTGTTGTTAAACTTGCTAACATTTGAGTTTCTTTAATGCAAACCTGTAAAATCTACAGCTAGCAGAGTCTTCTTTCAATTGTAACCAGGTGGTTTTTGTGTTGCACTGAATTTGATTTCTCATTATATTTGTAAAACTAAATGTTTAATCTGAGCTTCATTTATGGCTTAAACTTTGTTAAATGGAGGCTGAAACTGTGACAGCATGTAGAGAGCTTTTTGTCCACTGGGGTTTTTTTTCCTTGAATATTTTTTCCCAGCTGGTTTTTCATCTCTACCTCCACCAAACTCACTCTGTACACAAAGCTTGTCTTAAATGTCATCTTTTTGGATGCACATTTTCTATTTTGCTCATATTGCTTTGTCTTTATTTTGTTCATTTTTCTGTCATGCTTTATTCCTCTCTCTGCTCCATGTTTTTTTGCATTTGTATTACACATATGACTAACTTTTCACATATTTTGTCTGAGTCAATAACTCTGACAGTGAAATACCGTGATTGTGTTTGGTAAAACTTGTCAACTTGACTCTGTTTTTAAATAAATTTTTGTTTAAATGGAATCAAAAACTTTTCTCTGGAGGTCAGTTTTTTTATTTTGATAACATGCACAGTAGGTTAGAAAGTTTTAAAATCAGATGTGAACACTTTTAAAATCAGTTCTCTGGCAAAATTGAGACGAGCCTTAATGTTCTTTTGTTCAGCAGTGGTTTCCGTCTTGTGACTCTGTCATGCAGGCTGCTTTTGCCCAGAGTCTCTTATGGTGGAGTCATGAACACTGACTTTAACTGAGGAAAGTGAGGTCTGCAGGTATTTGGATGTTTTTGTTGTTGTTTTGTGACCTCTTGGATGAGTAGTTGTTGTGCTTTAGAAATGGCTTTATAATCTTTTCCAGACTGATAGATTTTAATTTCTTTCTCTCATTTGTTCCTGAATTTCTTTAGATCTCAGCATGATGTCCAGCTTTTGAGGATCTTTTGATCTACTTCACTTTGTTGTCAGGCAGGTTTTATTATTAAGAATTATTATTATTATCTTTTATTTAATTTTTTTTGGAAGTGCTCATGCTGCCCCAGACACAGTCATGACACAAATGCCGCCTCGGGCGACTGCCCTGTTCGCCCGTGCCTAGAACCGCTACTGCCTCGGTGAGTGCTTGCCTTGTGGCCATAGAAGCGAACGGTGTCCGACGTGACAGGCGGTCATGTTGGAACTATTAAGAGTTCCATAACCCAGAAGTGGGGTCCTCCAGGCTGTACAGCCTATGCCTACTATGGGAGTGTCGCCACTCTGTTTGATCACTGCTATGGCCTAGATACCGATGCGCAGTAACGTTGTGCGCATTCGGCGCGAGAGTCACTGTGATGACGCTCAGCTCAAACAGCGTATCCCCCAGGTGAGCTATGCAATCCCTGAACGCCAATAAGCTGTATCAGGTGTCAATCATAGAAAACATGAACCCCCTAATAACTTTTAAAAACGGAGCTGTACGGAAAAAAAGAGGACAAACCAGTCTTCCTGTAGCTACATGTCAACATCGCAAGCAGGGGGGAGAAATATTTCTGTTCTGTGTAATAAATTTGTAAAGTTTGTCCACAGCCCCATAAGCTTTGCTGGGGGAGGTGGGATTTATGACCTATACTGCAGCCCGTCAACAGAGGGTGCTGTTCTCGGGGTGGCTTCACCCACCGAGGAGGCAGACACTGTCCATTCTATTTACTGTCGATGCTCGATATGCACTTCGTGGAAACGCCCCCCTTCATTACTCGACACTAGAGGACACATCACTACTACATACATTGCAGAGGTGAAATGCACTGGTTTACTTTCATCCCTGTGAAGGACCAAACATTTCTGAAATCCCAAATCATAGACTGTATAAAGAATGGACAGAGTCTGCCTCCTTGTTGGGTGAAGCCACTCCGAGAACAGCACCCTCTGTTGATGGGCTGCAGTATAGGTCATAAATCCTGCCTCCGCCAGCAAAGCTTATGGGGCTGTGGACAAACTTTAGAAATTTATTACACAGAACATAATTTTTTCTTCCCCCTGCTTGTGATGTTGACATGTAGTTACAGTAACACTGGTTTGTCCTTTTTTTCTGTGAAGCTCTGTTTTTAAAAGTTATTAGGGGGTTTGTGTTGTCTTTGATTGACACCTGATACAGCCTATGGGCATTCAGGGATAGCTCTCCCGGGGGATACGCTGTTTAAGCCAAGTGTCATCACAGTGACTCTCGGCAACTGCGCGCCCAAATGCGTGCATCGCTACTGCAAAGAGCTGGTTTCAGGAAACAAAGAAAAATCCCAGAAATACAGAGAGCTATTTGGCTTCAAATCCGTAGACAGGCGGTAGGCGGAACCAAATTGTCCACAGTCTATGGCCCAAATACAGAGGAGCGGTCTGATCCACACTCTGTGCCTGTGATATAACTCCATGTAGATTTTCCATCTCACAATGAATTATTTCACTTATCATTGTCGATTGATCAATGTGTAGTATTGTCTATGCTTTGCCAATACTGTTCTGATAAAGCTCATTTGAATTGAAATCTATCTATCTGTCTGTCTGTCTGTCTGTCTGTCTGTATGTCTACAGTATATGAACTTGAATATCTTTTTGAGGTTTCACTGTATAGTTTATAAGAAAACACAAACTCTTGAGAAAAAAAAATACAGAAATGATCGAAGATTTGTCAAAAGCCAGGACATTTTTTTCTTGAACACGGTGCTCATTTTGGTTCAGCTATTATGTTTCCTGAATTCAACAAATGTGTCTTTTTTTTTCAAGCATAAATGAGACAAAATTATGCCACTTAATACTGTGCCGTTTCCAGACTGGAGGCTGAGTGTTTTGCTTTGGACAATTTCTTATTTGTTGCCCTAGCTACACAAATTATAACCTTAGCAGCCTGTACAACAATCAGGGATCGGGCTCTTTTACATAAAAGGAGGTTGTTTACTACAGATAACAAAAATCACAAACATGAACTGATTGGCAGTAGAGCCAGTAAATACAGTACTAAGAAAGAGCAAACATTTTTACTGGACAACTAAAAAATCCAGGCTGTAAGAAACATATGTAAGGCTTTTAAGTCGAATAAGTGCAGCTGTGAAAAGAAAAAAAAAAACATCATCAAACATTTTTGCTCAGCCAAGTGAATTTTACTGTTAGCTGTCAGCCATTTGTTTCCCTTTCTAGAATCTGAAAGATGAAGTTTTGATATTTGGAAAGAATTAAACGAAGAGAAGATCTGTACTCTGTATGAACAGGCACATGATAATAAATTAATTAAAAGTTCTCTAGTAAAAACCTATGACAAGATCTACTACATTTTATTACCATTACATTATTTCATGTGTATAGCTTGTTTAGCATCATTGAAAGTACAACAAAGAGTATTGGACCAACACAAAAATGGTAGTTATCCAGTCAAAGTAGATTTTGTGTAGGACCCCTTATTCAACCTGTACATATTGGTCATATGACTCTAAATGGTCCAACATAAAAGTGTATCAGTCAGAGTCAGATAGAATTTAAATGACACGTCAAAATACAGCAAAAAAGATATAAATGTAAAAAAAAGAGTCAAGATAAGATATAAATAACCACTTTGTTCCATTACCCTGTACGATACCATTACCTAACTATGGGGTAAGGTGCGTCAGTGATGGTTTCCTGATATAAAGTGTCAGTACATGTGTGGGTAATGGTTTTAAAGGTATAGTTTTTTTTTTTTTTTTTATTTTGGCAGGAGGGGGCACATGTCCACAGGAGATGCCAGCCAGCTTAGCCTCTAAATCAAGGGACTGGTCAGTAAAACTGGTTTGAACACACTGACCTATGAGCTTGTTTGTGGTATTCTTGATTATAAAAATAAGATTTAAAACAGCATAACCATCAGAGCCCTCAGAGGTTCAATTCAAAAACTATAAAACCTAAATAAACATGTTCTGTTAAAGTAAGTTTTCTATGATACAGCCCATGGTCCACGGGATATATTTACCATATCAAAATACCCTGACTGAGTAGTTACATAAGAATTTGTTGCTTAAAGCTCCTGTGCAGAGTTTTTTGACAGTTACGAAATAGACTGGCATTCATGTTGATGTCTTCTCATGCCTTACAAAAGCAAACAAGAACTTCAGCAAACAGGTTGAGGATTCCTTTATTGTAATCATCAACGCCTGAAACTGGTGTGAGGGGGTAGGTGTCAGCCGGGCAGCCCTAAAATTTATTACGCAACGAAATCCAAATAATTGATGAATTTGACTGTCAAAAGTAGCATGATGATATCTGTTGTCAGAAACTACTTCAGCATACTGAGAAAAAGATAAGCCAGACTGCTTTGTCCAGATAGGGCGCCCAAATTGATGCGAACTAAAATTTTCTCACAGGAGCTTTAAATTTTCTCAAATATTACATTTTATAATGCAGTTATCAGCATAAAAGGCAAGATTCAGGTTGTCTTTCACACTGCAGAACAGCTGATTGGTTCGCTGCAGGTGGAGTACACATACTAGTGCTAGAATAAAATGGCTTTATGATGCAAAGTCAAGTGCAGCATTTGATAGCACAGCTTCTGTGTCAGTTCCCAGGCCAGTCTTAGGAAAAAAGAGTAAACCTTATCGACTTCTATGGATAACACACTTACATTAACCCACTCACACCTACCCAAATACCAAACTAACCCCTTAAATGGTGTTAACAGCCTTGCTCCCTCTCCTCCATACCAGAGCCAGAACTGTGCTGACTGCTGTTATTTCCACTCGGGGACATCGCTGACAGCAGTGGATCACTTGGAGAAATTGGAGACAGGGTGTTTTCCCGTACCAATTCCTTCATTTTACAGGTCCTGGAATTTCCATAAGAGCCGGGTTCCCCAGCGTCTGCAGGAATCTGGTCGAATGTGATTGTTCCGTTGTTTAGGTCCAGCGTTGTAGGTGGAGACATGTCAGGGGCTGTGTTATGCTGGTAGAGATCTGAGGGGCAGTCGCTGTGGAGAGGCTCCTGTTTTATGGCTCTGGCCATCAAATCTGATGTGCAGATAGAAGATGATGACACTACTGTGAGTCCGTGAGCTCGGGCCTGCATTTCTAACTCCTAAATGTGAACACAAAGAAAGAAAACAAAAAAAATTCTATCAGCCCACTATATAGCAACACTATGTATTTGCTTCTTGTGTCTTCTCGTTCTACGTCTCAATACAACAGAAGAGGAAGAAGGGGTCACAAAGTATATCTAATTTTTGTATACCTTATCTGTTTTTTCAGTAATCTGTGAGCAGAATTGTCCTAAAGGGGAATTTTTCCACATGTTTGTGCTTGACTGTACTGGACCAATTTCAGGAATTTTTCTCCCCATCAGTCAAGCACACACAGACAAACAGGCCCATGTGTTACCAAAATTCCCCTTTGAGGACTTATCTTGGTTTTAGGATATTAGGATATAGGGCTCTATTTTGGTGCCTCGCCGGAGACGTGCCGCAAGCGCAGCGTCAGTCAGATCCGCCGCGCTGACAAGGCGTTCCCAAGCACATTTTGGTATTTTGGTGAGCCGCGCAGCCCAGCGTAAGTATCCCCCCTCCCTAACTCAGCTCCTCCCAGCACCATAAGTCGTAGACGGGGCGTGTAGTTGGTTTAACACAGCCGAGACCTGTTTTCACCAATCACATAGGCTCCTCTCCTTGCCTTTAAATCCGCCACAGGCGAGGCGTATTACTATTTTCATGGAGTAGTCAAAGAGATCAAGAGATGTCTTAAGACAGTAATGCCACAAGATGGCGACAGAGGGCAGCTCCTCAACAACTGTCCTCCACACTCTCTCATATGAGCACAGATGGATTTAGTGTGCGTAATGTTGGACCCACTGGTAAGACAAACACCCGTTTCCACAAATAAAGACACTCACATAAAGTTGCTCATGTTCAAACCTCACGTGACAAAGGTGGGTTGAGCGCACAGATCACAACATAAACTCCAAAAATGGCATTAAAATCGGAACCATCTGTGCGTAAATGACGCATCGCGCTCCGTGGCCTGGCTCTTTCTTTCATAGATGTTGGCATATAAATAAATTTGGCTCACAAAACTGAATATTATAATATCCGTATGTCGGCTTAAAGTAGATAACGCATCTGAGCACTGAAACAAATCATCTGTTCAGCTGCAGCAGCAGCAAGACGGACAGAGGACACGGAGATGTGTCCAGGTCGAGCTGTGCGAGAAATAAGAGGAAGAGGAAGAAAGAAAAGGAGGGAGACACATTACATATCTTGTTAACTTCATCATGTGTGTATATTTACTAGATATTTAATTTAATTTGATGCAGTTTCAGCTGTGTTGATTCGGTCAGGTTGTGTGTCCAAACGCGTGCCAAACGCGCTCATCAGATCAGATATAGATCAGAATATATCGATATAGATCTAAATGTATGTGCTGACTCTGATTAATAGTTGATGATGATTATTTATTGCACTGAAATGTGCCTGACACTGTGGAAACCTGCCGGTGAGGCATCAGTGACGTATGTCGATACGCCGCCGGTCTACCAAAATACTACAAGACCAGCTGCGTTCCGCCTTGCGCTGAAAGCTGACCAGGTTTGAATCGGCGAGCTTTCAGCGCACTTTACACGCCGTTGGCGAGCACGAAAATGTCACTGCGCCAGCTGATTCTGTCGAAACCTCCCCCTGCCACGCCGCCACGCCACCACGCCACCACGCCCAGCTTGGCGGATCTCGGCTCGCCTCCGTGCGGCTCATGCCACGAAAATACCAAACTGGCCTTACGCTGGGCTCCGCCAGACGAAAATACACCTGCACGGGGCTCGCCGCCCTCCGCCGCCTCACCGGCGCGCACGAAAATAGAGCCCATAATGTTTAAGTTTCCAAACATGAAAACACAATGCTTGAAAAAAATTATTGAAACTAGAATACTCAAATCCACTTTTTAATGAGAAGTCAGAAAACAAAAGTCAGAAGTTTGACTCGAAAACCAGAATTCTGCAAAAAAAAGTCAAAAATACTGAAAAATAGATCAGAGCTCTAAAACGTTTCTCTAGTGGCTCTGATCCTCCTCTGTAAACAAAGTGTGTGTAATTTACGGCTAGGCAATTTGGGAAAATTTGTCACGATTTTTTTTTTTTTCATATCAGTTGTTATCGATATATATCACGATATAAAAAAATGAAATTAAAGCGTGATTATTGGTAGCATGTCTTTTGCAATACAATAAGCTACTGCATCTGTGAGGTCCTTGTGTCTCTTTGATGTTTTGTTGTAAGGTGTTGTGCTAGAGAAAGCGGACTGAATGGTCGGCTGTTTCGGCTACACAGGCGTCATGGGCTCCTTGGTCTGCTCGGCTTTGTAACCTTTTGCATTGCGCGTGTTCTGCCGCGTGGCACTGCTTCAGGTGGTGAAAAAGATTTGAGGTAGTCCCCGACTTTGCGAGTTTTCAATATATATCATTATCGTTTTAACGCCCAGCCCTAGTGTAATTCATAAACCCTTGCATCAGGATATGACGAGAAGAAAGATCATTCAAACATCAGGATGTCTGAGACATCTTGTGTTGCACTGATAAAGCCCTATAGGAGCAGCCGGCTTGACAAAATTCTTTTTAGTAGCCAGGATATCTGACTGTAAAACCACTGACTGCCAAAGACAATGACCTACCTGTATACGAAGAATGAGATGACGGTTTGCGTGCTCTAGCTTCCTCTGTCGGCATTCAAGCTCCTTAGTTCTCTGCTGCTCCCGCTGAAGCCTCCTGATATAGTCCACTGAGGCTTTCAGAATGGTGCCCTTATTCCAGCGCATGTCTCTGGGGTATTCAGTAGACAAAGGGTACAGTCAGAGTCAGCTGACCAGAAAAGCACAATCTTAATGGCCCCACTAAACAAATAAACCATTACATTTTAAGGACACAAGAAGGGATAAGAATGAGAAAGAGGCCAGATGAATGAAATTAATGCGAAAAAGGAACTTTTTTAGGGTGTAACTAATATAAGACAAACTCACGGGTCATTCGACTTGGGTATCAGAGTGCCAAGCTCTTTGATGCGGTCGTTGATGTTGAACCTCCGTCTTCGTTCAACTGAAATTTTGTTTAAAAAAAGGATTTATGATAAGAATGGTACAGTATTTAACTTGTTAATGCAAAGATACACACAGTTTTTCTTTCAATTAAGTAAAATACAGATTCACATTCATTATTTCTAATAATGAAAATAAACAATCAACCAGAGATAATAATGAGATCAAACGTTTCGATAAATTTACTCCAGAAATCATGGTGACTGTGGTGTTTCATACAAAACCTCATTAGTCTCAGGCTGTAAAGTGACATTTTCTAATGAACTGCATGTACTGGACAAAAACCCTAAGGGAAACTTATAAAAATACTTCTCACTCACTTAAGTTGTGGTTATCTTTCTTCTGTCTCTCTTTAGCAAGGGCACGTACTTCAGCCTCTGTGGAGAAAAAAAAAACATGCCAATGTCTCTTCAAATAAAAGTTGTAAATAAAGTGACTCACTGTTTGTCATAGCACATGGTAAATCTATTTATTTGCCGTGAAATGTTCAAGTTTCACAGCAAATAAGAAGAAAATTAATGTTATGTAGATTGAAAGAGTAACCTTAAACATACCAATCTCAACTTCTGTTGGAACAGATGATTCATTGTGTGCAAATTTAGTAATACACAAAATGCGTCATACACAATTTCCGGTGCTAGCAGTCATAGATAACTTTGTAGTTTGCAAAACAGGATTGTTTTTCTTTGCTTACCTACTGGAATGCCCTCTGGCCTGTGAAAGTTTTCATACTGGCCACAGGATCCAGTCTTGTCCAGTACTTGCTTCATGCCAGGAGCTGGAGTAATTATTTGGCAAATAATTGGCTTAATAGTATCTTGTGCATTCCCAAATTGCACACAATATTAACACTGGCCATAAGTCATGCTTTTTCAGTTTAATTTTAATTGGGCTAATTATATCCTTCATGAGTACTGGTAATAATGACCCAAAAAAAGTCACAGATGAGTGAACAAATTTGACATTAAATTGAAATCACACTCTCCATTTTCCTTATTCAGATTCTCCATGACTCCCTTGTAAACCAGATACAAATGTAACTTAAACAGTGAATCAGCAGGTAACAGAGAGAACGTTTTTGGAAGTTTACCTGTGTATTCTCTCTTTATGTTGGGTGGACAGGAGTTGTTAATGCCAGGGAGGCCTGGCAGTGCGAGTCCTTGGTTGTTATACACATCCAGAAGATGACCAGACACAGGAAGCTGTAAAAGTCATGCTTAATAAGATGAGTAAAACAACTCTCGAGCTATAATAGATATATAGAGATATAAGATATCTATTTATATATAAGAAATAACTATTGCTGGTAAAAATTACCGGGTTGTTCATTTGGAGTCCTGGGTCCATAAGTCCAAGTACATCTTCATTGTAGCTCGACTCCAGGCTTATAATATCGTCAATAACATCATCCATCTTCATACGAGCAGAACAAAAAAAAACAAAAATTAAAAATTAGACATTGCATCTCCTCTGGGTTTCTGAATTCAATTCAAGGAAAAGTGTCAAGCATTAATGAGCAGGCACACCTCTTTCTCACAGTTAGAGCTGAGAGTAAGCAGGGCCATGGGACTGTTAGGGGCGCTGCTGCCAGGCCCAGGTGGCATGCCGTGCTCAGAGGGCTGACTGGGGCACTGACTGCCAGTTTTTCCACCCAGGGTAGTGGACAGATAGTGTCTCACCTGCTGCCTCTGAGCCTGCTGGATGTGGTACTTTGTGGGATTCTCAAGGTGGGACTGCACCTATATGATGAGGATGTAAATATTAAGGATTGATCTTTTGTCTGAGTCAAGCTTGTGGATTTTGTAAATTAAAATACGTCACAAAACTCAACTAACTTTGTTATGGTATTTGAAAGGTGTAAAAAAAGTAGCTGCTGTTTTTTTTTTTTTACTTTTTTTTTTTTTTAACAAGCATATAAACAAACAAAAAATAAACAGAGAGTACAAGTGAACGGACAGGTTGATCTGGGTCACATGGGTCATAAGTTGGTGCAAATTGGAGTGATCATTCACACAGGCACACACATCAAAGAATATGAAGTCCATCTTTCCCAGAACCTAGTATACTGATCAGCCTGTGGTCTTAGGGAAAAAGTCAGTTTTACCATGCTTTGAATTTCATTAACAGTGGTGATCCAGTCATTCCTTGATGGCAGATTCGTTTGCAGCCACTTACATGCAATGGCCTTCTAAAGTAGCTGGATTTTATTATAAAAGTATGGTTTGTTTGTGTTGACAACACTCAATTCCTAAAGTAAACCTTTGAATCACTTCTATATTTCACGTTTCTGAATAAAAAAAAAAAAAAGAGAATTTTCTGAGACGAAAATTAACAATAATAATCATAATAACAGCAATAGGAGACATTAACTTATCTTGCTATGTTCAAGTTAGTTTTTACAATGTTTTAGCATTTGAAGATTATCAGTTTATCTTTGTACTTAGAGTCTTTAATCTTAGCCGTGCTCTTAAACCATTCTATTGTGTGCATGCAAAGTTAGTTGCACTTTAAATTACAAATACATTAGTATATAGTTCACTCAAACTTTTAAATAATTCCATTAAAACTCAGACACTAAATTGGCAGGGTGATACTTTTCTCACAATACGCAGAACTTTTTGCCACAATAGTTAACACCTCTGCAGGTCCATTATACAGTATGTTACTGAAGACTGAAACCCTTCTCTAAAAATGACCCTAAGACGCTGTGCTTCTTCATCATTGACTTACAAAGTTGTGCAACACCTAAACACCTGAAGAGCAAAGAAATGTATCCACATTTTCATAGATTCATACATTAGCATTTGGCTCCAGTAACATCAACAAGTTTGATATAAAGCATGGATAACAAACTGAGAAGTTAATTCTGACCGTTTTTATGCCCAAGAACAGTTAAAACAAATCCAACAGCAAGTTAAAGAAATGTTAACCGTAGACCCCATTTCAGCTCAGATGTTTTTATCAAAGACAAGAAAAACAATCATTCCTACCTGATAGTGGCTGTATTCAAGCATCTCCAACATGATATTTTAGTGGTAGCTGATCAAGAGTATCTACATATGGTTCATAATCCCATTCATATGCAAGCATTCACTGTGGCCAGTAAGCCAACAGATATATAGAGCAAGTCTCAATTGATCTGGGACTTAAGGCTCATTAGTTTTGCAAGTTAAAAGATGGAGGAGGACGCTGAGACTCATCCTCCTTCTGTTGTGTTGTTCCAGCTTGAGTATGAATTTATTTCTTTATGCATCTCAATTGACGTCACCACCTCTGCAGCACAAAGGAGTCTTTTAATTTGTTGACCAGTAGTCTGCGAACTAAGGCTTGCTTAAGGCCAACTATCGTTTAATCTTTAGTTCTGCTCATCTCACATAAAACATTATTTGTTCTGAGCACAGGGAGCACAATAAACCTCTGTTTCACTACAAACCAGCCATAGGAAAACCAGAATGTATGGTGTTTATCATCCCAACCAATTTTGGGAATACGAAGAGGTTAATAACTCTTGAACATCCATTTTTATGCTGTCACAATCACAGGGAAGAGTGGAGAAGCTTGTTTGAATAACCAGAAAAAATACAATTTTCAAAAGTATTTTGGACTATTTTTTTTAAGCAAAAACCAGAATATCAGTGATGATATTGAGATTTTACATTAATTAATTTGCAGTATATTTATACAGTATATACTTTTCTTTATTGTGTTAATATATGTCAGCTTTCCTGGAGCAGTATTTCTCATTATTAACATTATCATTGTTTCTGCTATTACTGGAGTAAATGAGAAAACAAATATTAACACTTGCTAACTGCCATCAGTCTGTGCTGTTAATGCGTTGTAAGAACCATCACACCACATACAGTATGCTCCTGTTAGTAGGGGGAAGGGTAACGCTAACTTGAAACTATCATCAAAGTTTCAAAAATGTTAGTGTTTCTAACACATACAGCAAAAGTGGTTACCTGAGTGGATTTCTGTCTTTTTGGAAATGTGGCCCAGGCCCACCCACCAAAGGTCCTCCAAACCCAGGAAACATGCGTCATATTTTGCAGTTATACAATTTCATCTTGTCACCGTCAGTGAAGAAAGGAATTTATTTCATAACCAGATCACCCAAAAATAGTTCACCGCACCCAAAGCCAATTTTATATTTGGTCATTAAATTGAAAATGAAATGAGGCTGCTTTACGAGATCCTCATGGGAGACCTTTACAGGGCAGCTGTGGATCAGTGGTACAGTCCGGCATCTCCCAATCAGAAGGTGGGGTGTGTGATCTCAGGGCTGTCCTTATGCAAGACACTTGACCTTACCCACCCCCACTGGCTGCTCCCAGTGGTGTGAGAATGGGATTAGTCCAAAACTGATGATCATCAGTGTGTGAATGTGGTGTGAATGGATGAACGTGACATGTGATGTAGGAGCACTTTAAGTGGTCAGAAGACTAGAAAAGGAGAGATATAAACTCAGTCCATTTACCATAAACCAACTGTGCAGCTTCTTCCCTGATCATCTACCACTAAATATCTTGTAATCTTCCTTGAACACGAACTATTGAATCTTTATCTGCAGCATCAGAGACTCTCAAGGAGCCAAAGTGGTGAACACAAACACAGGGGAAGTGCCCCACGGCTTGACAGACCTTGGTACGATAAAACAGAGAAAGCATTCTTTGTACATTCATAGTAGAGCATTCATTTGTTTCCCCTCTACAGTTTGCCCTTTTTCTTTTAGCCAAACCTTTGGCTTGGGTTGGGTTGAGAGAGGGAACGATCAACAAGGGATGTTTTTCATTTATCCCCGCAGCTAACCAAACTCTAACTTTATTCATAGACACTTAGTGAGATAGAGGTTTATTACCTTCCAGGGGAGCACATGGGTACATGTTTTAGGCTAATGCCTTGGGGACCAGTAACATTTAGAGAAAAACTCGTCACTCCTTGATCCCTTGGATGAAACAGATCCTTTCATGTCTTAACTACTTTCCCTCTATGTCGTGCTGCACTGGCAAGCAGCCACAGCCACACTTGAGGGCATTATGTCAAAAGAGGATGCTGGAGATTTACCGTGCACCACAATTTTTCAAAAGGAGGACACAGTTGGGTTGCTTACCAATGGGAGCTTAGAATTACATCAGTAGCAGCATGGCTAACTCTAATGCATAATGTATAGAAGATTTACTTGAATAATAAGAAGATCAAAACTTTAGAGGTTAAAACCAAGATTAAAAGAAGTGAACTGATCAGGTTAACTGGACTTTAGCTGCTGATCCTGCATACTGTGCTCAGCTGTGTCAGTCTTTCAAGACTCTTAATGGAACCTCTCATGAGGCTCTCATCAGTTTTCACAGCTAGCCTGTGATGACAGACAGATCAGCCGGAGAAAACTTTCTTAAGACACCAGCATTAGCAAGCTGCCACCGACTCGGCCAAACAGGAAACACTTTGTTTAACCACAACTTAACCAGCACCCGCTGAGGTCACAGCATCGGCCAATGTTGAGGTTTACGGCCTTATGGTGTCACTTGAGATGACAGCTTTTATAACATAATTGGCACATTTGAGTTGCACAACATAAAGTGTTTTTCCTGACCACCAGAGACAGTCATCAGACCAACAACCAAAGGAAATAAAAAGTGAGCGTCAGTAACAACCTGTTTATGTGCAGCTCATATGTGGGAAAAGACATTCACACATTTTTGATTTCAACAATGCATGTGTCTTACCTGCTTGTGATCATTTAGGATCATGATAAAGTTTATTTGAAATATCAGTCCTGTAATGTGTGCTCCTAATGTTAATATACAGTGGAAGTTGGTAGTATGACAACTTCTAAAACCACATTCTTGTGTTTGGAGGAAAGAGAGCACACCCTGCAGCTGCATTTAACCACCAACTGCAAAGAAACATCAAGATTTATTGCTATCAGTATTAATGTTGTCTCATAGCGAGCAGCTCAGAGGTCACCAAAGTTATGTCCCTGACTTGGATACAAACTAATAATATCCATCTTACTGCAAAGAGTTGTCACTTCTGTTGTTGGTCTTTAAAGGGATATTATAAAGTGTATAATTAAGTTAGGGTCAAACACACTGTGACACTGAGTTAGACACCCCCTTGAGAGATTAATGTTGCCGACTGCTTGCTTCTCTCGTTATACCAACTTTAGTAATGACCACACGATAGCAATACACAGCAGTCTATTGATCCACGTGCACACCTCAACCAAAACGCCACTCTATAGCCACAAATAATGCTCAGAACAGCACCTAACTTCATCAACAGTACATAAAGGGTCCCAACCATAGTAATAGCCACCAAACATCATTTTTAGCTTTGCCTAATTTCTTAAGCAAAGAGACTAAACACTATTTACCTACTCTCTTCCAGCAGCCGCTTGTTTGTAGGGAGACCTCAGATGAGGCCATTACTGACTGCAGCGGGTTGACTCGGCTCAAGGAAGAACCCTTTAAGCTAGCTTTGTCAGTTTGTAACCTCATATATTTATCTCAGTTAGCAGAAAATAATTTACCCTCTCCAGTAGAGCCACTTAGCTGCTATCTAGCGGCATCATGGCAGTAGCTGGATAGGCAAACCATACTCCACATGCAGTTTGCAAACACCACATTACAGCATTACAGTGGTGGATAATCCAGGCTAAATTTTAAGACTAAAATAAAACATCATTAAAAAAGTGAGAGTGAAATGAAATGCATTTAAACATTTAATACCAATATCTGATCAGCTAATTGAATTTGTTTGAAGACAGAAAATATTTTGACTAAAAATAAACATTTATGTATAATAAATATTACTTCATGGACAAGATGTAAATGTTTCAAGTTATCTTAAACTATGAGGGGCAAAAAATGACTATGATGTGCCTTAAATTGAGTCGTAATTCTATCTCAAGACTAAGTGAAATAAAGCCTCCAATAACTCTGTTTATCAATGAGACAGACACATGACAAAGTAAAAATAGTGATAATAATGCTCAGTGTAGTTACTATGTGCTGTATGGATACAATCATTTAATTAAGTAAATATTTATCATTATTGATCAGAGTCTGGGTATGAAAAAATATGCTGTCTGGATATAACTTTGAGGGAAATTTCATTTTAATTAAAATGAGACTGTTTATTTTTCTCAAGGAGGCTGTGTAGATAGAAACATAATAAGAAAATGATAAATTATTGTTGTGTTTTGGAATTTTTTTTTTTTTTTACATTTTGGGTGGCTGAAAATGTAAACCTTTGAAAACAATTTCCAGAGTGGGATCTTTTCAATTGGAAGAAATGAACTTGCAAGACGGGGATCCCCAGGTCCTGTTTCTACATGGGTATCGAGATGGTGGCCATAATGGGTAGTGAGAAAATAAAAATGGCAGACTACCAAGTTGTGGTTTTGCTGCTGACTCCTGAGTTTATTAAGTCTCCTTTTCTGAACCAAATAAACAACAACACCAAAAACTGTGCTATGTTCCAGCCCAAGGGTTTGGCAGAGTGGTAGGAGAAAAAATAATGTTCCAAAAAACTTTTAAAGTGACAGGGCCGAAGACCTCAATCATGTGTTTACATCTGTTGTTAAAAACATGCAGCAGCTATAGAGACGGAAACAAGTGGACTTTTGTCATGGTTTATTAATTAAACTGTTCCACTTTCAAACCCAGAGATGAGGTATTTAAATCTGCCTTTTCAGCTGCAGGTCTGTCGTTCATCAGGTCCTGAGGTGTCGTCTCCAAACACATCAAGACGACTGATTAAAGAAGTATGGTTTTAACTACACCTGAATCTGGCAGAAGGATATGATGCTTTTTAAAAAGACTCTTAATTTGAACAGTAAAGAGAAAAACAATGAGTTCATCTCACTTTACTACTTTGCTGATACAAAAACCCACAGACATCCCAAAGACCTAGACTCAAGTTTTTCCATCTTCATAAACAGCAGATAAAACCATACCCAGCCATCCTTTCTGCAAGTTTGTGCTGCTTTGCCTTGCAAGATGAGGCATCAAATTTCAGT